TGTTCTCGCGCGTTTTGGTGTGTGTGTGTGTGTGTGTGTGTGTGTGTGTGTGTGTGTGTGTGTGTGTGTGTGTGTGTGTGTGTGTGTGAGAGAGACTCTTTTCACACGCAAATCCTGAGTTGCTGGCACTTCCTGACAGTGACACACAAGAGAGCATGGGAAAGGTTGTGACCACCTCCGCATTAATGGGGTGGGCCTCTCTCGCCACCTCATGATTTGATGACGGTTCAGGGCGGGGGGAGGGGGGCCAACAATTCGTTTCGAGGACCAATGCATCTCCGTAGTACAAATGAATGTATTCCTTAAATGCAAGACACATGAGTGTCTTGACCACTTGGCGTGAATGAATGTGTGTGATTAAAACCGTGATGGGGCCTGACTCAAACATTCACTTGAAAATGAATTACCAACGCCATTATCTTAGATGTTTTTCCAATACACAGAATTGAAATATTACTTTGGCTTTCTACAGTAATGGAAAAAAAATATTAGCAAATGCTGCTTCCGTTTTGTTTCAATTAAAGGTAATGGAAGTACACTTAATTTATACTCATCGTACAAATTTGGGTCACTGCTAGCAGTTTTTAAAGCCGTGGGTAATCGCAGTAAGAATAAATATACATTCACAGAAAATAATACATAATCGATTAAAAAGAGCCCTCTAAATTGTAATAGAATCGAATTGTGAGGTGGCGAGAGATTCCCCCACAGTGCAATTCAGTCCACTATCCTTCCAGTGAGCTTCTAAAGGCAAAATAAATAACAATAATTTTGCAGCTACTTGCATGACTGTAAGATGACTATGAGACTGCAAAAAAATTCAACCACAGTGGCTCACACTCACAAAAAAATAAAAGAAATAAGTAATACGCTGCAATGAAAATAGCTTGGGGTGCAGAGAATTGCTAAAATAATCCCTCTCCTTGTACATTGACCCCTTCATTTTGCTAAGAAACATCAACCCAGTCACAGCATTGATTATTTGAGATACTCCCAAGGGCTGAAGAGTCCAGTTATTTGCTCAGTGCAATTATCTTGTCGCCTGCAAATTACTCCATGCGTCAGAAAAGTGTCAACCTTCAAACCATATAAACCAGACTACCTTCTTACCTTGCTGTCCAGTTTCTTCATGGTAACCAGGTCCAGGGACTTGAGGGAGTGGCCCGAGGGGGAGATGAAATACAGACAGGCGTGGACCCGCGAGTCGTGGTAGTTGAAAAGGGAGCGCCTGATTTTGAGTTCCTCCTGCAGGTAACTCTCAAACTGCCGGTCGATATAGTCCACCACCGGCTGATAGCTGCAAGACAGACGGACGATGGTTAACGGTGACGTCGTAAATCACACGCTCGCTCGTTGGCTCGCTCTGACCTCTCCTGTTTGTTCATTTGGTCTCCGAATCCCACCGTGTTAACCACGGTGAGGCGCAGTCGCACGTTACTCTCCTGCAGGTCGTAGGTTTGAGCCCGCAGCTGCACCTCAGGCTCAAAGTGAGACGACTCAAAGTTTTCAAAGTTGGTGCTGAACAGAGTGTCCATCAGGGTGGACTTGCCGATACCAGTTTCACCTGAAGACAGATCAGACAGACCGTCAAAATAAGATAAACTTTAATAGAATGACTCTTTTTTTCCCTGAACATTTTTTCCTTTTCAGGCCATTGTCAAAACATTTAGATTTTTGTTTTTTCTGCAATGCTCCATATTACACAAACATAAATTCTCTGGACTTGCCGATACCAGTTTCACCTGAAGACAGATAAGACAGACCGTCAAAATAGTAAAATAAATGTCTTTTTTTCCCTGAACATGTTTTCCTTCACAGGCCATTGTCAAAACATTTAGATGTTTTCTTCTGCTGCGCTCCATATTACACAGAAACATAAATTTCTATTTAAACTCCAGAGTCAAAAGCAGAAACTTTTTAAGATGTGGCGGATTTATTCATTCAAACCCGGTGATTAGTTGGGGCATGCAATGACTACATTTGCCATAAATTTCTATTTAAACTCCAGAGTCAAAAGCAGAAACTTTTTAAGATGTGGCAGATGTATTCATTCAAACCGGTGATTAAAAGGGGCATGCAATGACTACATTCGTTGAAATACAGTAATTCACAATTGTATTTCAAGGCCAGGAGTTGGACTGAAAAACGGGATGATGACAGTGGAAGAGGCCCATGGTTTAATAGGATTACAGTTTCCTCCAAATGTGACCTTATTTGGTCAACATCATTGTTTTGTTTTGGGTTTTTTTGAATGTATGAGTGTCAAGCAGCATACCGATGCAGAGGATGTTGAAGCAGAATCCCTGATCGGTGGACTTGTTGACCAACTGGTCTGGGAGGCTGTCAAAACCAACGTGGCCTGCCAGGGAGAGAGGCCGGAGTCCCTTATCCTAAATAAAACAATACACACGCACACACACACACAAAATATGCTTTGTCACAACCTTCCACAAAATTCAAAAACACAATAGCACACTCGAAAAATGAAAAAAGATGCACAACAAAGATTAAGGAAATATTTTCTGATACAGAGCATGTGTCATAATATTGTGTGATTGTCCAAGTGCTTCCAATACACAACAGAGCAGGTACACGTATTCTCTATTATAACACGTGTGTTACTAATACAAGAGTGCAGAATGTAATGATAGTCATATCTGGTTTGGTGCCACTGTGCTGTATATTCCGATCGAATATCTGTTATTAGGGGACGAAGATGAACCCATGTAAGTGTTATAAATGAGTTTGAACACTTTTGAGATTTCCTGGTGAGTGTAATTATAAATGCCAACGTCTCCCAAACTTCACAGCAGTCAGTTGAGTGACGTGATTGCTTCTTTCAAGACAGCTAACGCCCCTCCGGTAATAGATGTTTCTACTAGGCCGATGAGCAAAGCACTTGATAAGATAAATTTAGCATGAACACGTACACGAGGTGGATACACGCATTTGATTTCTGTGACCAAACCGTGTTGTGTTCAAAGGGAACGTGACTTAATTTGCTCAAGAGAGAAGTTGCGCTAGTTGTACGGCTAGCTAACTTCATTGTAGCCCCAGACACTCCCTTCTCGACTATGATTGTTATTAGAGCGAACAACAAAGAGATCAATACAAACCGGTTGCAGCGCAACATCGGAAGAAGCCATGTCTTTTCGATGGAAAGTAGAATTCCCCAAAAGTACCAGACACAGTACAATCAAACTTAATGAAAGTCAAATTCTTTTCTTTTTTCCCCCCCTCCAAAAGATTCCTGAATGGGACCGCCTCACCACGGCCAGACTAGACCAAGTTAAAGAAGAGATAATTATGTCTCAAATGGTCTTTGTGAATCGACTTAAAATGCGATCTAATTAGAGGTACACTTTAAGTTTTCAATTTATAAAACAGAATTGTTCCCAAAATAAAAAGTTTGAAAATAAATATGCGCGACATGTTGCTTTATCAAACCGATTTTTAGACGAGTCACCTTTTTTTCAAGTTGGTACAGTCCTATAGCGTGTTGCATTCAATACATCCTAAGTGTGGGGAATTTGTCAACTATACAGACTAACAAACCTATAGTTGTTTTACATATTCTCTTACTTTCATGTTGGATGCATGAAAATACAAAAAAAAATAAAGTTATAGGAAATTTGCCTCCCTCCGGTTCGACAGTAGAAAGTCAATTTTTCCAAAATATTGTATGACAAATTTACGTGGGGAACGGTAATGTAACACGATGACGAGAGAGATTAATGGCAATGTGCGTCCCCTATCGGTCATGGCTTAAAACTGATCAGCCCATGATGGAAGAAAGGAGGAGGCCCTGTGGAGATGCTGTCATCGGCTGTCAACCACCGCGAAATGACAACGGACTCATTTCCAAACGTTTTGGTGTCATGTAAATAATTTATCTGGTTGGATAATGAAAATGATGGCGTCCCCGTGCACGGTTCAGGCCGTGCAGGAGTTCCTAATGGGGAGAGGAGGGCGAGTCCAACAGATGGAGCTCATCGATCACTTCGCGACGATGTGGGGTGGCGCAAGTGACCCGTTGAAGGAGGAGGAGGCTTTGAAAGGCGTCGTGGACATGCTCGGTGTCGTGGAAGTGGAAAGCGGCGTGAAATATGTGCGTTTGAATGAGGTTAGTAGCGCGCGCTCTGTGACGCGCGTGGACGGGGACAGTCACGAGCACGCAACCGAGTGCAACGGCAACGTGCGCGAAACAGCGGACGACAACAAGCTCGTCAGCGGCAACCCTGACAACAAACAGCGAACAGGTGAGTGTTGATCGAACTAACTGGCATCCTCTTGGCTTTGGTCTACTTCCAACCTGTCACTTGACCGTATTGCATTTCTTTTTTGCGTGTAAATAAGTATTTGTAGATTTATACATTAATGTTCAGTAGCTATTAAAGTGTCTGTTTTAGACAATATCGTGCAGGTATGGTTCACTCTGGGCAGCCCATCTGGTGCTACTTTTCAACCCTTGAAAGGAGGCAATATGAAGCTTCATGCAAACATTGTATAGCTGTACCGTTTGTTTGTTTCTGTGCTGTCCTCCTGATGTCTAAAAATGTACATTTTAAGGCCAACGATCAAGGTGAATATTTGGTTTTGCTTGCTTTTTTATATAAAATGGGAATTGGTCTTTTGAACCCAAGTACACATTAGCGATGCATCGTTTTGAAAAGCCAAGACGAAGCAAGGTATGGTCAGCAAAACTGTGCTTGGAACAAGACTCTTGGGAGTTGTTCAGACTTTTACCACTGAGGGCCTTATACAGGACATTTAAAGGATGCAGAAGCAAAAAAACAATCCTGTGCATGTCAAGATGTGTTAAGCAGTTAAATATAGCAAATAAAAACTGTCTAAATATCAGCTTTCTTGCTTGGGTGACATTCAGAGACTGAGGAAATAATTTTTAGTGTGACATCTTGTACATTTAACAAAATGTTTTATTGTGACATGACAACCCTTTTCTAATATCTATCTCTGTGTGTGTGTGTGTGTGTGTGTGTGTGTGTGTGTGTGTGTGTGTGGCTCAAATCCACCTGTGTGATGTTCTCATGCACTCTGTGTGCAATTTTATTTTTGGAATATGGGCCAGACAGCATAGTGACCGTGAACCACCTATGCCACATTATTCTCAGGTTGGGGGTTTGAATCTGGGCTGTGTGGAGTTTGCACGTTCTTGTTCTTGCATGGCTCCCTGCCACATTCCAAAAACGTGTATGCGGGTTTCATTCGTAGCTGACTTGACAAAAAAAACTTTTTCTATATTCTCATAGGTGCTTCTAGTCCACCTTCGTGCGACATGGATGAGGTCAAGAATCCAGACCCCACCCAGTCCAACAAGATCAACACCACTCCCGCTTCTGTGGGAAGTGGGGAGGTCAAGCTAAGGGAGAGGAGACGGCGCGAGTCGGCTCCGGTGATCGGGGTGCCGGAACTGGACCACCCCGCCATCTCCCAAAGCCAGGTAGTCCGAGGGGCCCGCAGGGTGTCCAAAGGCTCCCAGCGGGCGTTGCTGACAAGCTGCCTGTCTGAGGACAGCACCATTGAAGGCCTGGAACACAGTCTTGATGTGAACACACCCAAAGGGAGCCGCAGGAACTTCATCGAGCTGATGATGAATTGTTCTCCTCAAGTGAGTTTAAAATCGTACATGCATTTTAGTTTTGACGAAAAAATTTTGTCGGTGACAATATGAGGGTGAATGGTTGTTTGTGTGTATGCGCCCTCATGTTTGGCTGTCAGCTCGACATCTTTAACCCTCGTCATCCTCCCTCCACAGGTCCGGCGGTCTCTCATTCATCGAGGTCCGCGCCTTCGAGACTCGATGAGAAGCGACGGCGATTCGGCGTCTCTCCTCTCCTCGGTCACCGACGAGGACTGCCCGTCTGTGACCCTTGACCCGATGGAGCACGAGTGGATGCTGTGCGCCTCGGACGGCCTGTGGGAGAGCCTGCAGCCCCTCCTGGCCGTGGAGGCCGGCCTGGTAGCCAAGAAAGACTTTGTCACCGGCTTCACGTGCCTCCACTGGGCCGCCAAGCAGGGCAAAGCAGAGCTGCTCTCGCAATTGCTGAAGTTTGCCAAGGACAACGGCGTGGCCGTGAACGTCAACGTGAAGTCTGGCGCTGGGTATACACCGCTACACCTGGCAGCCATGCATGGACACACTCAGGTAAGATGCGGCCCGGTCATGGGATTTAAGCAGCATACAGTCGTGTGAATGGCTGCAGAAAATCAACCCATCCAGTTTCTGTCTCATCCAAATTTATTTTGAGGGCACATTTAAAACAACTGTGGGGACCGAAGTGCTGTGCTGTGACGTAACATGACATTACACCAGCTCAGAACAATTAAACCAAAAGTAAAACAAATGAAATATTGAATGCCAATAGCTAGGGGGGGGAAAAAATCATAGTGCACACAACTGGTAACTATTTATTCATGGCCAAGGAATGCCAAAGAGCAAGCGTCTCCATAGCGCTCGTGCTCATTAGGATTGCAGATGAGCTGGAGCCGATCCCAGCGACTTTGGGTTAAGAGGCGGCTTGCCCTCTGGCTTCGTCGCCAGTCAACCACAAATTCACGTCTAGACAAAAACAAGCATTCACGCTCACATTCACACCAATGGGCGAGTTTAAAACTCTTCCATGAACCTCAAAGGTATGATTTTTGGAATGTGGGCGTAGGCAGGAGTGTCTGGAGCAAATTCTTGCAAGCGTGTTGAGAAGGTTGGAGCTGATATTCAAACCCCAAAATCTCAGAACTGTAAGGCAGACATGACAACATTACCGTTTTGTGGAGTGCGGTTTAAATTTAATCTGATAAAATCATCACAAAAAATATGGTCTACTGTTTGACCTCCCAGCAAGGTAATGGACCCAAAGCACAAGAGAAAAAAACCCTCCTCAACTCACTTCAACGTAGCTGCTTGGCTCCAAGATAGCACCAAAGCGACACTTGTATTGATTTATCCTGCAGAAAAAAACTGCAACTAGCTGAGGATAGGTTCCAGAATCCGAAATTTGTTTCCGCCTTGGGAATCATGTTGATTAATCGGCCAAGAAGAAGCATTTTAAATGCATGCTCGTTGTCCTTCTGGATGGTCAGGTGATGCGTGTGCTGCTCTCCGACTGGGAGGCGGACCCTGATGTGAGGGATTACAGCGGCCGACGAGCCCTCCAGTACCTCCCCACGCCGCTGCCTGCAAACCTGCGGGACCAAGGACTAGTCACCTCGCCGAGGGCGGAGTCCGACAACGAACACGTGAACGTCAGCGGTGGAGGCCAACGCGGCTGGAGGTTCCCCAAAGTGCTCCAGGGAAACCTGAACCCGCTGCGCCTCCTCAACCAGTCAGCGGGAGCCTCCGATGAGGCGCTCGGGAATGGGAGGACCAAGGGGGGCATGTTTCGAAAGTCGTCTCTGAGCAGGCTGAACGCTCGGCTACATCGAGGGCGACACAGGGCGCAGATTATACATAGCGCTTCCTTTAGGGACACGGGGGAAGTGGGGAGAGGAGACGAGCTTCCCAGCACCCCGCAGCGAACGCGGCCGCTCTCCAACCTGTTTGGATGAGGCCGCTCGAAAGCAGCTATCTATTTATTAAGAGTTTCGTGAAAGGATTTTTAGAACTGCAATTGTGTATTTTACGGACAAGCCTTTTTAAAGTTTTAAAGTCACAAAACACTTTTTTCCAACAACTGAAGTTGATTTTTGTTCCTTTTTTTTTTCAATCCTACACGGAGGGACTAATTTATTTAAGTAGCATTTTAAAATTTTTATTTTTTGCTAAAATTTTATTTTTTGCTACACGTTATCTAATTTATTTCAGACGGACAATGATTGCATCCTTGAATGTTTTTTTTTTTCTTCGTGGGAGGGAGGGAAGGGAAGTTTTGTAATTTCACATTGGTGGAAGATCACTAATCAAAAATGTTATTTCTGTTGCACAATATAGCTACAAAAAGTAGGAGTTTTTCCTTTTTTTTTTTTTAATTCCCGTATTGACAATTGTTCTACATTCACGCTTTGGTACATTTGTTCTATTTGCACTTGTCACTTTGAATATTGTAAACACACAAAAAACTTGCTGAAACTACAAACATGACCTCGGCTGTTTTAATAGTCACAGCACTTAACATTTATAAACCAGATCACGTTTCCGTTTGCTTTTCACGAAATTGGGTGTTGTTTTGCACTGGTGGGGGGTGTGTGGGCTTTGGCTTGTTCCAATAACCGAAGGACACTAATCAGTTGCATGACCAGGCTGTTTTATATTTTGTGGAGGCAATACTTTTTTTTTTCTCAAATCTGCTTATCATTGTGCTGTTTCTGCTTCAAGGTGAAGTATATTCATTCCAACCGTAATTGCAAATGGTGACAGATTTGGTCACTTATTTAATGCTGTGCCTCTTTTGAGATTTGCTGAATAAATGTCAGTGAACATGACACGATGAGTTCAGGGACCTAGACAACCCACGTAGCACACATTGGTAAATATGCAATCAAACAAGAACAGTCACATTCAACACTCTGGAATGCATTTGTTTTTAAGATGGCGTAGCTTCACATGTACAAGTGTAATAGTTCGGTGTTTGTTCAACGTGAATTTAGATTAGAATGTACGGTATGATTCGTTGAAGTCCTTGTTTCTTGAACGTGACCCTTTCTTAAAATGAGCCGATTGCATTTATATCACACGATCGCCTCCCATTTTGTATTTTGTACATCTGACCTCATGTTGTAGAGTAAAGCAAAAATCGGTACTACAAGCGTACTGTGACATCATTTTTCACCTGCATGAAGTGTGGGAAACACTGTTTACATAAATACTGTGAAGTTACCATTGAGTAATAGCCAAGTTGATTGTTCCCATTTGTCCGAACCTTTTATGTGAAATAAAGCAATATTTAGTATCGGATTGCCTCATGTTTAATGATGAGCCCAAGCCACAAGATGAGTTAACACACTCCCTCCTGACACCAGTCTGCTATCAGCTGGTGATGCTGAAAAATTGATGATCTGATGTCCTGTAATTGCACCATAGCCGCAGCTGCTCAACACCACTTTCAGTATTGTATGAGCAACGTTGCGCACCTGTTCACCGCATTTAATATGCATGTGTCATGCTCTCCGGGGCTTTGAATATGCAAACTCATAATGTTGAGTCTATTTTGCTGTGTTGCCTCACATGGCACTCTTTTGGTATGTTGACGTGCTATATTCTCTTGCATCATCTAGTCTAAATTAATTTGCAAGATCACTGCTTTGCTTAAGTCTCGCCCTGGGTTTATAGTTGTTTTAGGCCGCTTTTGTATGACTGCTTATTTGGGTGAGAGAGCGAGAGAGCGGCTCTCTGACTGCAGCTACTGACCTACATACACAGCGAAGGGAGTAATGCCTGTTATGTAAATTTCCCTGCCATCCATTCAGGGAATGGATGCCATTGGTGCTCTCATTCGACTAATCCATATTCAATCTAGCTCACATTCAGTCCCCAAAAGCCATATCCTGTGAGTCATTGATGGAGCCCAACATGCAACTAGAGAGAATTGTACCTCCAGCCCTCCAGTAATGGACTATAAATTCTACGCAACTGCAAATTACAAACAAAACAATTACTATTATGTAAGCGGTCATAGTTTTGTGGAAAGTTGCGATGTGATTTTTTTTTCTTTCTTTTATTAATTTTTTTTAAATTTGTGGTCGCAAGTAATGAGAATGTTTTTTTTCATCCACTGGAGGCTAGCCTAGAACCAATCAATCATAGGGCAATACAAGCCTCCGCAAGCCGATCAGATAATGGAAGGATAATACTACTAATAATTATGTAATAATAGTTTAATGTGTTTTTGTATTTTACAATAATAATATGATAACATGTCAATAGCAATCTAATTTAATTTGTTTTTTGTGTTTTTATTTTAGTATCCATCGTATTAATTTGTAATACTGACAAATTTCCACATAGTGTCGCTGTTCTAAACAAGCAGAGGTGTTGCGCGTACTTGTTGGTCCTCTCTCAGGTCAAAGTTGGTATGATGCGGAAGTGGCTTCTCTTGTGTTCATTTGCTATCGCGGCTCGTTGGCTGTCCTCAAAATCATTTTATTGTCTTTTATCGCGAAGTTGCCAGATGTGCGACAGTTAGATTTTTTTGTTCTAAGAGAAGTTTTAAGAGCTTCGTTTATATTACACGCGCGGGGTTTTAAGGTAAGTGCGAGTCAATGAACTATCCATGCTAACAAGGCTAGCCTGTAACCAACATGTACTTGATACCTCGCAGTAGGTAGCGTAGCCGCTAGTACCGCCGGATTGAAATATTTCTGTCATAATACAATATAATATTGTCCGTAACATTTCCGACATTACAACATTATTCATTCGATGTCAAATGTGGCACGACGGTTTATTAAAAACTAACTCTTTATCAAGACCTTGAATGCACGCCTGTAGAAGTTAGATGGATTCCTGGTAAGCGCATGAAAATAAGTAACAGTACAAAATTCGAGGTGTGACAATAAATATATAATTCAAACAACAAGTATTCCTCCTCTTTGTGGGCCAAACGACCGACCGGCATACTACAGAGAGATCCTGCAGTGATTGCTTTGTTCAGTGCACGAGAAGAGACAAAAGTTATGTCGAGAAAACTCAAGGCTGCTCACACTACAATGAGCATCTGACAGTTCCTGACTGAGAAGAACATCGCGATGTGTTCTTATTTTTCTCTGCCTCGTTCCCCAAGATCAAGGGTGTCATCTAGGTCAAAGTACTAAAACAGTGTAATTTTCAAGTTATGATCATTTATCGTTGTTAACTTCATTGCTACTTGCAAATGCGTGGGATCAAACGATGACCTGAATGATAACTGCTTTGGTCCGGTGGCTGCATGGCTCGTAGTGGCTAACCTGCTAATGCTACATGTGCAGGCTGTGCAAACGCTTCTCAGGTTTTCTTGACTTTCACATCATCATTTGAGTGGTACTTTTCATTTGGATGAAAAATCATAGATTTTGTCACACCAGTCATGGAAGTTTTCTGACACAGCTTGTGCATGCAGAGAAAATCTGAAATCACCCAAAACATGTGCTTAGCTACTACCACCACTCGTTCATCATTAACAGTGTAATGTTTTTATTTTTCCCTCCAAAACAGGATTGAAAGTTGTCTTGGTGGCTCGTTCACTGAATAACGCATAGCCTGAGAAAAACACAGTATCCTGGATTCTTAACACTATTCAGTTATTTCTAATCATAACAGTCTTCTCAAACCTCCACTAGGTTTCAAGTGCTGTCTGCCACAATGACCACCATCGTCCATGACACCACAGAGGCGGTGTGCCTCTCTGCCGAGTACAACATGTATTTGAAGCCCATCGCCAAAATGACCATCAGCGTGACGCTTCCACAGCTCAAGCTGCCGGGAAAGAGCATCTCCAACTGGGAGGTAATGGAGAGAGTAAAGGCCATGGTGGTGCCCGACCAGTTCTCAGCCCTGCGGGTCTCCAAGAGCACCATGGACTTCATTCGTTTTGAGGGAGAAGTGGAGAACAAAACGGTTGTTAAGAGTCTGTTGAGTCGCCTGGATGGGAAGAGCATCAAACTTAGTGGATTTACTGATGTACTGAAAGTAAGCCTCAAAAAGGACACTTTGTTAGGATGAGTACAACTGATAAATGCTTTGACTGAGCTAAAATTAATATGGAAACAGCTTGAAAGATTGAGACTTTTTTTTTTTTTCCTCCCAGGTTCGTGCAGTGGAGAACAAAGTGGACTTCCCAACAAGGCACGACTGGGACTCGTTCTTTCGAGATGCCAAAGACATGAACGAAACTCTTCCGGGTGAGCGACCGGACACGATTCACTTGGAAGGTCTGCCCTGCCGCTGGTTCAGTCAGAAACAAAGCGGTTTTCCCGATCGCCCGTGTGAAGAGGCTCTCATCGCTGTCTTTGAGGCCTTTGGCAAGGTACACCTGTTTCAGTACTGTCTGAATTTTTATTTCAGCCGTGTGAACCTGTGAAGGTAAGAAATGTTATTTCGTGGTTTCTATGCAAAATCACTGCTTTTCAGGAAATTAAAAAAAAAAAACCTCTTGCTTGAGTTATAAAGCAACAGAAGCACACCATCGTTGAAGGATTGTTTAACACATTCGAACACACAAAATATATTTTCATTGCTTCCGATGATGGAAACAAACAAACGGTATTTGTCGATTCAGGTGCGCAACGTGGACATCCCAATGCTGGATCCGTATCGGGAGGAGATGCTGGACAAAAACTTTAATACTTTTAGTTTCGGGGGCCATCTGAACTTTGAGGCTTATGTGCAGTATCACGAATACTGCGGCTTCACCAAGGCCATGGACACGATGCGCGGCATGAAGTTGATGCTGAAAGGAGATGATGGAAAGGCAGTGGCCTGCAACATCAAGGTACGGTAAATGCCACTCTCCTGCTCGACGCCACATAAGCCGGCACACTGCTCCTTTTATTCCTGATCATGAACTGATTGACCAACTTGCCCCTATTAAACACGATTCATTTTAATTCTGCAAGTAATTTAGACGTCTTAAGGGAGCCGTGTGGGAGGCAACAAGTGTGAGACACAGTTGAGCTTGTTTCAGCTCAGAGTCACCGGGCTCCTTTAAGACCTTTTAATGTAATGAGAATCAAAGCGGCTCATGTCGTGTCGGGAGGGAGGCTAATTCAAATGAGTATGAAAGGTCTGCTGCACAAATCTGTACTTAGAGATAAGCTCGAGTTACATTTGTTTACTAAGAGGCCAAACACAATCCATTTCCTTTTGCTTGGAGTTTGTGAAAAGTGTTTTCAAAGTAAAATGTGCTCATTGTTACCAAATATAATAAATTGGTTCCTTTACCATTTCGACCATTTTGTTTTCGTTTTGGTACAGATCAGCTTATCACTCTATCAATTGCTGAAGTTTTGATACATGATCGTGCTTAAGCCTCCCAGTATAAAAAAATATATAACCGATCATGTGTTGTTGTTTTTTTTTTGTCATGTGGACAACAATAAACACATTTAAAGTTGTTCATATCCAGATTTGGTTTTTGTATTCCCTCCAGGTGACGTTTGACACCACAAAGCATCTCGGTGAGTCAGCTGTGAAGAAGCGAAACCTGGAGAGGCTCAAGCTGCAGGAGTTAGAGAAGCAGCGAGAGGAACAGAAGCGGCGGGAGAAAGAAGAAGAAGAGCGACGTAAAGAGCAAGAGCGGTAGGAACCTCCCACCTCCCCTCAAAGTTAACACGAGAAGTTGTGATACTATTCCAGCCGATATTGACCCAGCCCAAACGGGCTCTTTTGCAGGAAACAGAAGGAGCAGGAAGAAGAGGAGCGGGAGCGAAAGAAGGAGGAGAAGCAGCGCAAGCGTGAGCAGAAGCTGCAGGAGAGAGAAGAGAGGAGGAACATGAAGAGGGTGAGGAAGCAGCAGGAGGAGGAGCAGAAGAAGCTTCAGATGAAGATCGCCATGGAGGAAAGGAGGCTTCTATTGGTCCAGCGCAACCTGGAATCAATCCGCCTCATCGCTGAGCTGCTGGCCAGAGCCAAGGTACCGTTTAAGGAACACCTTTGCAGGCCGCCACCTCACATGATCTACAGGGTGGGCCATAAGTTTCCATTCATAGGGTTTGAATACCTATGGTACCTGTGATATTTAGGGTATCCCAGACATAAAATATTCATACATGTTCCTATGAATGCAAACTGATGGACCACCAGTCCAGTTATTGACCAAGGTTGGAGGGGTCCAGAGCCAAAGTAACGCTTATTGTAGCAGCCTGGGTAGCCACCAGTCTGTCTTAGTTACATATAAGACTTCTCTTCCATCCAAGGCGGTGAAGCAGCAGCAGCAGGAGAAGGAACGCGCCGAACGCGAGGAGCACGAAAAGCGGGAGAAGGCTCGGCAGGAGGAGGAGCGGGTCCGTCGCGAGCAGCAGGAGGCGTGCCGGCGCAAGCAGCAGGAGGAGCTCCTCAAGGTGGAGCTGGAGAAGGAACGGGCCTTGGACCTCCAACGGCGGGAGAAAGAACTGAGGGAGAAGCTGCTCTCCAACATGCTGAAGAAGAGCGGCGAGAAGGAGCAGGTGAACTCCGGAGGGAGCAAGGAGGCCCCAGATCCTGGCAGGGAAGATGCATCCCTGCTGGCCCTGGGTCAGCTAAATGGATTGAAGACAGCAGAGGGCAAAGAGAAACCAGTCTCCACACCTTCCGAAATGTCAGGAAAAGGCCGAGGGACAAAGGTGAGCAAGGTGGCTGAGGATGTGAAGAAGACGAAGGAGGAGAGGAGGAAAGAGGAGGAGAAGAGCCAGTACAGCAAGGAGCGTGACCGCAGCTCCAGGAGGCACCATTCCAGCAGCAGCAGGAGGAGAAGGAGCAGGAGTAGCAGCCACCGCAGGACCTCCAGGAGGAGCGACAGCCCGCGCCGCAATAGGAGGCACAGCCACAGCCACTGGAGCAGAAGCACAAGCTCCAGCCGGGACAGGAGCAGGAGCAGCAGAGGGAGGAGCTACAGCAGGGGAAGGAGCCGCAGGCACAGTCACCATCGACACAGCAGAGACGACTCCAGGAGCATCAGCCGGGACAGGAGTCGCCACGGCCGAGGATACAGACGGCGCAGCTACAGTCAAGACAGGAGTCACTCCAGAAGATGAACACGCTCCTCTTGACACGTTGCAGCCACGTTCTTCATTTTGACTTTTGGAAATCAAATGAAGAGCATATTTCAAAGACACGCAAACAGCTTGAGCATTGTTTTTCGCACGAACATCAACTCAAGTGTACTTGTACATTGTTAGCCATCCATTCCACACTCACTTGACATTGCATTGGCTCCATCGTGAAACAACATTGTCATTCACTGCCACTGACGAGTATACCGTTGTATTAATTTTTTTTTTTTTTTTTTCAAAGGGGATAGGTTGCGGAGCACCGTTTGCGTCCATTGGGACAAGTGGCTGCGTTTTGTGCAACCTTCCATTTCTTCTACCACTTTTACTGGTGAAAGGAGAGTCTCTATTCTTTAATTTGGTAGGTTTGGTGTCGATATAAACGGTGAACACAGTTTCTTGTGCGTCTTGAAATTGCCAAAATTCTCTAAAACGCCTGGCAGTGAATGAGGTCATGGGCAATCAGTCCAACAAATCAAGCAGACTAAAAGCATTAGATCAAATTCTTAAATAGCTTTTTTTCAGTTTCAATTTTTTCACTCATCTAACAGTATTTGTGCACTCACAAGCAAACAAATATGAATTTGTCTGCATTAGTAACATGAAAAAAAAAATTAAACAGCAACTACTTGACTAATAAGAATGCACTTGGAGAACTGAACTGTGTTTCGGATTAGCCCCCCCACAAACTCTGACCACTTCTGCAGCAACTGATGTCTTGCTGGAAGAAGCGAACCACCACAAATGTGAACTACTGACCACTTGAAAACAGTTCTCAGCTGCCTCAAATGTTTTTTTAAGTTTGTCTTGAAGCAGCCCGAGAAAACTCAGGATTTACAACCAACGGAATGCTTCCTGAAAATGGTTGGAACACATCTTTATTTCCCTAAAGGCATTTCTTCTTTTTTTTTTTTAAATAAGATTTTCTGATTGTATGAAAGCTTTCTTGTTCTTTTAGTGTGACCGACTTGCGAGATGAAAGCTTCGAAGAAAGAGTGACTAAATTCTGAAGCTGATTAAGCATGCAGCCCAGTTTCCAGAACAAGAGGAATGTTAGAACTCTTGACATGGTGGCTCTTGATAAAATTGCAAGGGACTCAAGATGCTCTCTGTCGCTGGCTTATAGAGTTTTGGATTTGTCAAATCAAGAGTACTGTGCAGCCAGGAGGATGTTCACGACAAAGTAAATAAAACTTCCAAGCTTTGTATGTTCGTTCATCCTGCTATGATTTTGCGCGTACCTTGCATTCAGGTTAACTGAAAGGAATGTAACTGCTGATTTACGCATTTATTTTTGGGGACACACGGTTTGTCTTCAGAAGTAGACAAAAGACAAAGTGAGCTCCCAATTGCTGGTAGTGGCAAAGTTCGATATGTGTCTTTTTGAATTTTTTTTTCCTTTCATCCATAACATTTGACTCCACTGATGTGGAGCTGGCTCACAAATTACATTTAAATTCATCTCAAATGTTGGATTAGTTTTATGCGCTGGGATGCCTTCAGGTCTTCTTCACACAAAGGTGCAAGTGTTAAATTGTGCCAAATGTCTGTCTACAGTGAAAGTCTCAATTGGAGTGTGAGTGACAGTGAACAAGGCTGCAGTGTGTTTTCTTTCATGGTCCAGTGGCGGATGAAGGAGGCCCTGCACTAATCTGGGTTATCGGCCTCTAATCACCTTAGCCCACTGCTAGATGGGAACTTTCTGTGGCATTTAGTCAGTCTTTCTCTCCACTTGACAGACACCTTGCAGGGAACGGCTTTTTTTTTTTTCCATAGGACGAAGAACGGTAAGAGTTTGTGGTCCATGGCCGGTCGGCATGTGATGGACTCACCTGAGGCTTCTTCGCCTGATGCTGGAAGATATCCCAGGAAGATACTGGAGTACATGGAAGGCTTCCTTGTCTCCAAGGTAGCGCACACTTCCAGACCCCCTTGATTTTCTGTTTTGGTGCATTAGTTTCGATTTTGTTAGTGTCATTGGAGTTAACGTTAATTTACGTTTTCGGAGGCGGTCTTTGAGCGCCTCTGGAGTCGAACGGCAGAAGAAAAAGGCACGTAGTCCGACAAGAGACGTTTCTGTATTCGTTGAGGGTCTTAAAAGCATTATTAAAGTGTACGTTTTAAAAAAAACACTAAAGCTCTCCTTGTTTCGGAGCTGCAACAATAGTTCTATTTGTGAATTAAGAGTTAGCTTTAGCAACAGGGCGTAGGTTTTTCCCGAAACGTCACAGCGAGAATGACAGCACATGGTAAAATCCATGTTCCGCAGATTTTTATATGTTATGAACAAAAAACGAAAACGTCTCAAAAACCTGTTGTGCTTCGAGCAACGGGCTTTTTGAAATAAGCGTCAAAAATACGTTTAGAGACACACAAAGCCATGCTTGACACATGCTGTTGACCAGTGCGATATAGTTATTGAAACACACATTGCAAATTAAGTTTGGAACAGAAGGAAGTGTTGAAAGAAGTAAGGCACTGTTTTAATAGAAAAGCCTTTTAACGTGTAAAACTATTTTATTGGGCAATATAGTGTCCCCTGCTCCCCCCTCGCGAATAATACTATTGATGCTCTGTTGAATGCAACCCGACTTTCGCCTTTTCTTCTCCTCTGAGCCAGACTTTGTTCACGGCCTGCGAGCTGGGCGTTTTCGACGTGTTGTTGGGAGCAGGACGCCCTCTGTCTGCTGACGACGTCAGCCAGGCGGTTGGGGCCAGTCTCGATGGAACCCAGAGGCTACTGGCGGCCTGTTGTGGCCTTCAGCTGCTTGAGACACACCAGCAAAATGGACGAGGTAAACGGACCGCTACATACTGCGCTATGCAGACACCTCATGAGACGGATCTGAGACAGCACTTGTAGGTTTGTTTTGTTTTTTACCTCTGCGACCGTTACTCAAATTGTCAGATCAATTTCTGGTCACAGCTTTGGACACATCTTCAAACTTTCAGGGACTATTAAAATGTGCAGGTGTTGAGACCTGGAAGTGCTGAAGGATTTATATTTCATTCATGTGTGGAAAGATACATATTCAGTAAGGGCAGCATCCTTATTTTGTCATTTTTATTTTTCACAAATTTTCTGTAATTACACCAGTTTTGTTAGGACCCGGAGGGTTAGAGTTCAAGTGGCTGGTGGCGTCATCAAGGAGGAGGCGAGAGAACGGAGGCCGCGATGGCGACATGCGGGGAAAAAAAATAAAAATAAATAGTTTATGAGGGAATGTCTGTTCGATGTTAAATGCATTCACGTGAACTCCAACTGAACAGGGAAAATAAAGTTGCCCAAACGGAAAAAAAGAACTGATTGATTGCTAAGTACTGTGTGGTTAGTTCAAACCAAAAGGATCGGTACCCTGACCTGGCCGCATTTTTGTTTTCATGTGCTGAGAGAGAAATTGTCAAAATACAAAAGTGGTAAGACATCCTTTACTGCATTTGGAACATTTGTATCAATGATTATACAAGACAATTTTGAGGACATTTTTGAAATTCATTTCCTTGTTATGTCAAGATGTCGATGACGTGATCAGGCCTGACTGTCGTTGCCTTTTCTCTCTTTTGTTCCGCTTTTCCACCGTCTCATGATGAAAAGTGAAAAGGTTTACGGACACCCGCAGGAACTCATTTGCAGTCATCTCCTTTGTTAGTCTCTTACAGTAACACAGAGGAGACCAGCCTCTACCTGACCCGCTCTGGTCCTGCAACGCTCTACCACTCCATCCAGTACAGTTCCAGAACAATCTACCTCTGCTGGCACTACCTGACTGATGCTGTCCGGTCAGTGACACCTCGGGGCATTTCAGTCATATAAGATAGGATGAATGAGGCGGTTGGATGGACACCCAAAGTTACTTGTGCCATATTTGGGATCAAGCCTCATCAAATATGTTACATGCAGTATTCGGTCTTTCAGGGTTGGATTAATAAGGAGAATTCAAAATTAATTGGAAATAAAAGTGTTGCAGATTCGGTTACTCAAATACAAAATTTTCCATACTGTAGGAAGGTGCGAATGGTTGTTTTGTCAACAGTGCCCTAGCATTGGCTTGCTTGCTTGCTTAGTGTCACTTTTGACACCTTCACTAATTTAAATCCAACCAGTTATGCACAAGTACAAAAAAGGTGTGTAGTTTAAAAATAAAAATGTTTTTTTTTTTTTTTTGTATGTCGCAGGGAGGGGAGGAATCAATATGAGAAAGCCTTTGGCGTGAGCTCCAAAGACTTGTTTCAGGCTCTCTACAGGTAAGAGACTCGCTTTGAAGAACACATATAATGTAAAATAAAGAATCGTACACATGCATTGGTGGAATGTGGGCGAGGCGTGAACAATCCCACCAATTCAAATTAACTTTGCAAATTGTATAGTGTTGTGGAATGCAATTTTCAAATTGCAAAAGGCTGAAAAGCAAAACAAAATTCAGAGCATCTGATGATTGCGCTGAAATGGTGCCATTGAAAAGCCAACCTGAGAATTTTCGAAATATGAAACGCGCAGACAACAATATGGCCCATTCTCGGAATGATAAATTTGTAATTCACCGCTAATTGATAGAAAACTAAATATCAACTCCTGCTCACAATGCCCAAATGAGGAGCCGCGGTTGTTTGTCCCCGCTGATTTCCCCCGAGAATACGGAGAGGGGGGGAAATTAGCACAGGAAGCAAGCGCGGAAGTCATCGAGGGCTTTCTTGGAGCAGCAACAGAATGATTCAAAGCTGGCTGCATGACTCACACACTTGTTTACTCCTTGCCATTTAACCAGCCGCATAATGTACCTGAATAATTTAGTCAAGTCGCGAGCATGGCATGAATTCTAACACTTAAAAATAAATAAATAGAATAAAAATAAAAAGACCTTGAGAGAAAGAGAAACTCGTTTGGAGATTCAAAGCACGTACAAGATTGCATAATGAGAAAATTAAAGCAGAATTAATGCCTTCCTCTTATTTGTATCGCTTACCCACTTTGCTTCAAGTTGATTGATGTGTTTTCTAAATCGGTCAGATGTTTTTGAAACCTCTCGGTGGATTTCATGTCATTTCAAGGACAAATATGTAAAACTCCAATTGGAGCCCAGACAGAAATGCGCAGATTCTATCTCAGGAATTGTTTTCACTTGCTTTTTGGGGGCATTTTCAAAACAAGATGTGTAATTTTTGCAGCCTGTCTCAAAGAAAAAATTTGACAGCTCATTCCCCCCCAAAAATGTACACTGCTTAGAAAAGTTAAATGAACCTGAGTTACTCTAAATTATAATTTCGCTATTAGCAAATTTACTTTCGGAACCTATAGTATATCCTCTATTTTACACTGAAAACTCACCTATTTGCTGTATTTGTGCTAAGGCAAAAAAAAAAAAGGCACCGCTCGCCATAATTATTCATACAGTGAAGAAAAAAACAATCAGACACTGTATGTCTTGTGTATTTGTATCTGTTGACACAATCAACAAAAGAGGTGAAGGGCAGAATATAGCGGCACAAATCTCACAAGGACGTAAATAAATGCCTGGCAGGTATTTATAACACTTTGAGTGGAAATTGATGACAGAGAGGGTAATTGCTATTTTTTAATTGATGATGAAGAGGAAAAATGGACTGCTGCTGAAAGGACCCCGCTTTCATCCAGGGCGAAAGGGCTGGTGCTGGAGCACCACAAGGGGTCTATGTGTACACCACTACATTTTACAACTCCGTCCCTTTCAAAAATTGCCAGAAGTCTAGATTTCTAAATTCATTTTTTTTTCTTCTTTTCTACTTGTGTTGTTAACAGTCAACTGTTGTATTTGCGGTGAACGTGATGATAAAACGTCACCACAATGACAAATGACAAGTCACTGTTTGGCCCCACAGTCATTTGACTTGTTCACATCTGGGCATTAATAATCCGAGTCTGGAAACGTCAACATTTAAAACATTGAGTCACTTTCAAAGTTCTTTGAGGGATTAGTGTGTCATCCAAAAGTTGTGTTTGTGTACCCAACCCTCTTACTACACTCAAGTCTGGACACTTGCAAATCTGTAACGTTGCGGAATAGAAGACGCTTTGATGCGTGTGTGTGTGTGTGTGGGTGTGTGTGTGGGCGTGTGTGCGCCCTGTGGCATGGTAAAGTGCTGGGTGATGAAGTGGAGATTTCTCAGAACAGCAGCACTCACCACAGGCTCTTCTATGTTGCAGCAGCCTGTCTCTCCCAAGCACACACAATGTGTCGCCATAGGGTGGTACTTTTCTGCAATTGGATAAACAGTGTGTGTGTGTGTGTGTGTGTGTGTGTGTGTGTGTGTGTGTGTGTGTGTGTGTGTTTTCGTGAGCGCACGCGTGCAAGACTCGGCTCTTAGCTCAATGTAGCGACGTATCAAAACAGCACTGAATGATGGCGACAGTAAATAACACTGGTTTCCGTTGTTCGCGCTTGTTTAGGTCTGACGAGGAGATGGTGAAGTTCATGCAGCTCATGAATTCCATATGGAACATCTGTGGTCGGGATGTGCTCACGGCCTTTGACCTTTCGCCTTTCAAGGTCATATGTGACCTCGGAGGTAAAGCGTGTTTTGATCATCGCCGTAAAAGTCATTTTCGGCGAGGTGGTCGGTTCGCGGCCGTTAACATTTCAAACCGTCAGTGCCATGTGTTAAGTGAGCGACAGCTGGCTGAGGTGCACATCCATATTCATGCTGTCCCCTTGTTGTCCCGTCACACTTCATAGAGAGGCTCCAATTAGGAACATGAGTGGCCTTCATGACAGTTTAGTGACATGAAAGGTTAGTCATTAGTATATTAGTAGATTTCCACCAAGGAAATAGCTCACCGATCCTCTGAATGTATAGTATTTTGCAAATAAAATCATTTATATGCGGGTGGCGCAGCGGGCAACTGGCCTCACAGTGTAATAAATAATAATAATAATAATAATACATTTTATTTATAAGCGCCTTTCAAGACACCCAGAGGTGAAGAGTTAGATTCCGGCTGCGGCATTCTTGTGGGGGGTTTGCATGTTCTCCCTGTCCCTGCGTGTTTTTTTTTTTCCACGGTAATCCGGTTTCCTCCCACATTTCAAAAACATGCATGGCAGGTTAATGGAAATCTCTAAATTGTCCCAAGGTGTGAGTGTGAGCGCGAATGGTTGTTCGCCTATGCGTGCCCTGTGATTTGCCGGCAACCCGTTCAGGATGTCCCCCCGCCTACTACCCGAAGAGAGCTGGGATCGTGCCCCGTGACCCTCGAATTAGAAAAGAGATGGATGGATGGATAATTTATATGCACTGGCGAAGCTCGGGCCACCCCATTTTGCTCATTGTTTGCCGCTTAAAGTAATTTTTTTAACTGAGTAGCCTGCTGACAGCGTAGTTCAAAAGTGAACATATTTTCTTTGTGAAATGAACAACGACATTTGAAAAAAAAATACCATGCTTGTGTTGCTCATACAGTTAAAGGCAAGCCAAGACGAATTGCATGTGATACCGGAACTAACCGCGCAGGGGCGCTGTGAAGTCACTGAAAGAGGGAAAGGCGCGCACGCACGCACTGAGGACATCCTTCCTCAGCACTTCGTGTTGCAGCTCTGCGTGTTCATATTTATGCGTCGGGGATGCATAATAATGGTGCGCCTCGACCAAAATGTGTGTGCATAATGGACAGCAAGGGTGCGAAGGGCGTGACCACAGTGTCCCATTAAGTCTTCGTCTCTCACCCAACATCTGTTACGTCTGCACACACCTGCTGCTCAGCTCCTCCGGCTGTCCGGCTGTCCAACTTGGTGCCAAGCGGCAGAGATGAATGTTGAAGCCGCTGTCGCATCATTGATGTAATGAAGAATAATAATTATGAGGATGGATTCCATTCATATGGCACCTTTCTAGGGATGTGTGTTAGTCAAGTCATTGTTGCTGGTTGTAAATGAAGGTGTCTCACTTAAGTTCACGTCGAGGTGATATTTAAACACATTTCAGTGGCAGGTTGTTCATGGAAATGGTTATTTTCTTGACGTTTATTGTGCTGTAAATTCAATATATACACTAACAGTTAGTGTTAATAAATCTGTCAATTTTAAAACCAGTGAAATGGAGTCAAAGGCATTTGAAAAATGAGTGGAAGAAGGAATTTCCTAGCATGCCTAGTTGCATCTGTAAATGGTTTGAGACATCTACGGCTTTGGTTATAGCTCATGTCATGTCTTATCATTAATGCTACTTATCGTCTGTGTTCTCAGTGTCATAGTTGTTGCGTGTGTCTGACTTTTTTTGCATGATTTTTGAGGCACCGTAAGTGAAATTGATGTCCACTCTCTCCAAATCATTAACATTTGCTCTAAATTCCGGTGAAGCTACCGACAGTTTAGATTCCTAGTTCCACCTTTAAGTCTGGAAGTGTTCCAATCAACTCTAGTGTTCTCATGTCACAGATTTGTACATATCCATTGGTGCAGTCAAATGCAATGAAAGAGAGTACAAAATGTTTGGTTAAGAAATTGAAATTTGCCATCTGAATTACATAGATGTATTTATAAATGTTATTTAAATAGCAAGTCTTTGGAAGTATTTTAAGCATATTGCAGTACCGTATTTTCCGCACTATAAGGCACTTCGGAGTATAACGCGCACCTTCAATAACTGGCCTATTTTAAAACTGTTTTTATATACTGTATAGCTTCAATAGTGTTTGTGGATGCATTGTGCATCCATTAGATGGCGCTACACAAAAGGGAATACAATACAATTCGGCTTTATTTATATTGAGCTTTCACAACCGCTGCAGCTGTAACAAAGCGTTTGCAGAAGATTTAAAATACGCCGTCCAAGAAATCAGAAAATTGATCCATATATAAGGCGCATCGGATTATATGAATGCTTTCAGGTGTGCCTTATAGTGCAGAAAATACGGTAATTCATGTTGAATACATATGCCCAGAAATCTTTTTATACAAATATTTACTGTTATCAGGACTTCACAAATTTGTTAGCATAGCTTATTGTTGGACTATAGCACCTTTTGATGATAAATTCAGGTTACGTTGCCACCAAGGAACACAACAGTGTTAAAACAGAGGACCCCCATTATTTTTTGCCCCCCTCATTATTTCGCAATTGGAAAATGTGAAAAATTGACCCTCTAAATCTTGGAACTTCAATTATAGCAGGTTGCCATAACTCCTACTGTTTCACGGAGCACAAGGAGGCAACAGTTTCATCACCAACACTAATCTTGACATCTTAACTCGGTGATGGCGGTCTCATCCGAGTATTTGAGAGCCGGACAACAACCCATAAGGTGCACAGCGACAGTCACAAAGCTCACATAAAAGGAGGTCATTAACAAACGGACTCATCCAGGTCAGTTTGGGTCTCATATGTTGTTATGTTTGTGTTGAGCTCGGTTTTACTCCCCCTGCGTTGCTCTTTGATTTTCAGCCTCTTCTGGCCCGTTTGATGTGAAGGGCCAATGTGTGTGTGCGCGCGCGTGTCAAAAGACAGAATTGTAAGAATATTGACCGAAGGTTCACGAAAAAAAAAAAAAAGGGAAGGCATACGGCACAAGATACACATGGTAGCATAAGTCAAGGGTTGTGTCGTACAATGAAAGAACAAAAGACCCGAACGCGCACGCGGCTGTTGTTTTTTCAAAATGAGATCTTTTGATCCTGTTTTCCACCTCGCTGCTTTTCTGTCCCTTTACCTAATTCATACACGCTTTTTTTCCCATAACCCTCTGCTTCAAATTGAGGTTGATTAGAAAAAAAATGATGACCATAATAGCCCCACTCTCTGCCCCCATATACCCCGTGTGCTATTTCAGCACCTTCCAAGTGATTGTGTGATAATCAACAGACTTAAGAAAAAATAGAAGACAATAGAGAAAACAAAAGTAGCCCGCCATGTAACAGTTGCTTAGCTTGTAAGCAGCTTTAACATGATGCAGAGTTTGGACCCGAACCCTTTCAGGGACGGCGGTCACTACAATGGACAGCTTGTCATGTTATCAGGTTACAGGGTGCATGAAAGGGTTAACACTGCTTCAATATTTGGAACGTCAAAATCGGTTAAAGATTCTATATGCAAATGTATTGAACTTCAATGTTAAATACAACTGAACTGCAGTGGGGCAGTGATTCTTGGTTTTTTTTTTAGGCCACACTTTTGAGAATCACTGGTGCAGACGTTGTTTTACGTAGCATTTTGAATGCAAACTGCCATATAAGTACCGTAATTTCCGTACTACGTATAAGCCCCGACTTTTGTCACATGCTCTCAACTCTGCGGCTTATTTAATGACGCGGCTTTTATAAAGATTTTTCTAAAGGCCACCTGTGCACCGTCTTTCTTTGTAAATATCTCATGTTACAATGTGGGCACCTGCGGCTTATAGACAGGTGCGGCTTATGTGTGTACAAAATGTTTTTTCCTTTAAAAATATCGTGAGTGCGGTTTATAATCAGGTGCGCTCTATAGTCCGGAAATTACGGTATTACCGATAGTGATACTGAAGCTACCACTGTAAAATAAAACTGAAAAATGGCAGCGTGACGCACTATTGGATAGCACGAGGTTCTAATCTCGACTGTGGCTTTCCTGTATGACGTTTGCATGCTGCAAAATGAAATCTCTACTTATATAGCCGTGCATGTAACAAGTGACTTTAGACATTATTCACGCATCGACTTATACGGGGGGGGGGGGACACTACTGCTGAATGTTGACAAATCCGCAGCTCAATGCATATCGAGGGTTCTTTAGCTTGAGCGCTTCTTCGTCCTAAACCATAAGAGTCCGTGTTTTGTTTGTGTACGAAGCATCTGTGTCTCTGTCACTCCAAATTCACTTCCATTTGGTCTGCTTTATTGGCATGACTGTTAGCTGAACCGTGTCCCTAAGGCTGAGGTACACAACCGAATACAAATCATGAGCTAATAAATAATAATGGCGACGTACCTGCAAGCATCTGCTCCACTCCACTGACTTCATTTGTCCGTTTGTGAGTGATTTCCTCCCATTTTAATTACGGTTGTGTGTCTTCATGGTGCAGTGACTCAAAGTAATTCTGTGTGCTTCGCGTTCTCTCCCAAGGCTGCAGCGGAGCATTAGCCAGGCAGTGCACGTCGGCCTACCCGGAGTGCGCAGTGACGATCTTTGACCTCCCCAAGGTGGTGCAGACGTCCAGGGAACATTTTGTCAAGGAGGCTGACCACAAGATAAGCTTCATTGAAGGTAACTTCATTATCACTCTGGGAAAAAAAAAAATAGTTCTCGGTGAATGCACACGGCACCACTCGCGGTCACACGCTTCCCCATAACCTGCATTAATTTTGCATTCTTCGGTTGAACGCTGGATCCCTTATCATTTTTTTCCAAACCGAGACATGAAATTGTTTCACTATCTCTTTCAAATGAAGCACATCTCATGCCTTTGGCTTCACTTCGTTACCAGAAATATTGTGGAAGCAACGTCACGCAGAATAAAAATGTCATGAAATACTTACATCCACACATGCACATTTTGGGGTTTTTCCATTTACCTAAACGCGTTTGTCCATTTAGGGGACTTCTTTAAAGACCCCTTGCTAGAGGCAGACCTTTACATCCTCGCCAGGATTCTCCACGACTGGACAGACGAACGTTGCGTAGAATTGCTCAGTCGAGTCCACAAAGCCTGCAAACCAGGTTGGTAAATAGAAGAATAGTTTGACGAAAGGTCCCGACACAGCTTGCGACGTCACAAACTCACCTGCCATTCTTACTTGCTCCAACAGGAGGCGCTGTATTGCTGGTGGAGGCCTTGCTTTACGAGGATAGCTCCGGCCCACTCACGGCGCAGCTCTATTCCCTGAACATGCTGGTTCAGACAGAGGGCCGAGAAAGAACGGGGGCCCAGTACAGCGCCCTGCTGGCTGCCGCTGGGTTCACCGACATCCAGTACCGTCTCACAGGCAAAATCTATGATGCGGTTTTGGGCTTTAAAGAAAAATAAGCTTTGAAAAAAAATGAAACAATCATTGTTGAAAGGAAATATTGACTATTTTTTTGTGATAGATTGACCCAGATTGGTTTCGGATATCTAACATAATAAACCCCTTCTCTGACCAAAACTGCCACCGTATTTATACATAATCATTCCTAAATTTGTGTTGCTCTGTTTTAGCATATTTTTGTACTTTGATGCTAGGATCTACTGTATACGATGCGCCATTCCACTTTATTATTACAAACGTAAAGTTCAACCCGCAGGAAATGCAAGCCCGTGAAAATTGACTCACATGTCATTGTTTGATTTCCATCTAAAAATGCCTTGCATGTTTCAGCAGATACTTTATCTTTCCCAGACATTTGAATAACTGGAACCACACACACAAATCAACAAGAATCAACTGGATTGATTTATTTTCTTAAATCATCCCTCCATCCACTTTCTAATCCGTTTATCCTCACGAGGGTCGCGGGCGTCCTGTAGCCTTCCCTGAACCGATTGCCAGCCAATCGCAGGGCACACAGAGATGAGCAACTATTCGCGCTCACACTCACACCTAGGGACAATCTGGAGTGTTCAATCAGCCTGCCATGCATGTTTTTGGAATGTGGCAGAAAACCGGAGTAACCGGAGAAAACCCACCCAGGCACGGGGATAAACATGCAAACTCCACACGGGTAAGCTGGAGTCGGAATCGTACCCTGCACTGTGAGGCGGACGTGCTGACCGATCATCCACCGTGCCACTTTTTTTTTTCTGTCTCATTTTTAATTGTTCTCAGGAAGTGCAAACAATATTCGATGAGAACCAAATTAATCAGTCTTTCCTCCAGCAGACCTGAGAAGTGATGCTTTTCAGCAAGTGAAGTTTACACACTAGCGATTGTCCCAACCTGAACCACATCCATCTTTGTCGGTACTGTATTGCTCCTCCACTTGTGAAATTTCCATCTGATGCCAAATGCGCACTTCTAGTTGTTCACTAACGTTGGTTCGACTATTTTTTGCTGTCCACCCAGCTGTGTGTCTTCTCTGTAATTACATTGAGAGCATTGAGTTCACCTCTTACTCGCACCCAAGGAACTTCCAATGTACTTGAGTGTTTTTTTTCCCTCCCCCTTTTAATTAATGTCACTTGCTCTTGCATTACTGTCTGGGTTTTGAGATTTGTGAATCACGACTCTATGGTGCCTGCATACCTGGTTTAATTTTTTCCCTGATGTGTTTCGCCATATGTTTACCACACCGGGAATATAAACTGTACAGCAATGTAGACGACGTTACATTTGTTACAAATTAGTTCAGGCACTTCCGGGGAAGAGCAAATTCGTGGTCATAAAGGTTGAAAAAAAATGTTTTTTGAAAGTAAGGGAGGATTCAACTGCACTACAAAATTCAGTTGGACCCTCTGTGGGCATATACGTATTTTTTTTTTTTTTTCACAAGATGATGAACTTGCTTGGATGTCATGTTTTATTTCTCAATTCGAAATCCTGTCTGAACCTCATACCGTACTCAGATTATAGATGAGGCCATCTTTGGAATCAATTTGGCTCTTTTTGACGCATAAGAGAAAGGGAGGCTAATCAGCATCTCGACGATGAAACTTTGTGACGTGAAGTTTGAGCACCCATAAATGATGAATAGTTTTAATGTGACAATCCGACGGACGGGGGTTGGGTTTGCTGTCTGGATTTTCAACAATTTGACTCATCAAGATCCACAGAAGAATTCCTAATAAGCTATTAATATTTCACAGTAGCACTGCGTGCTACGGCCGTTCATGGAATTTAGCCTCCTAACGCCGTCTCCGAATTGGACACACACCACAGTTATCAAGTGAATTCAAGATGATGGAGTTAGCATGACGGAAAAAAAAAAAGAAAGTACAGACAGGACCAGAAAATGTGGTATATCAATAGCAGCTGTTTCTGACTGAACAATGAAGGCTCAAATAATAACACGAGACAGAGATGGGATAGACAGAGTCCCATTTACATAATGTAGTGAGTAGTACTTCCGGGAAATGTGACAGCACAGTTTGCAGTGCAGGTTTAATTAGAGAGAGCGAGAGGGAGACAACGGAGGGATTGTGAGAGCAGCTTGGTCGAGACCTTGGTCTCGACCAAGCTGCTCTCACAATCAGACTTCACCCATGAATATGCCGTATGTTTATTTTTTTTCAATATCATGCACAGTTGTGACTATTTTTGTATAGTACTCTGCCACAATACCCCCAAAAATGAAGGTCATATTTGCTGCAGCGTATGAACATTTTGGGCCACGAGTCACCAAATCCATCTGACTTTGAACAGTACGCACAATGCGGGATCAATCGTAAAGCGGAATATGATTGATATTTGCTCAACGTGTGCACGTGATCACAACTGTTTTTATTCTTAGCCAAGAGAGATAGAAGTGACAGAATGATGTCAACAAAGTGACACCCGATCCTCTCGCCAAAGTGAACCAAATTTGTGGCACGTCTTGCTAGCACAAAAGAAAGGCCACTATCCTACGACATAATGACATCACCCATGAATGTATTCGTGCATGAAAAGAGATATCAAATGGAAGCTTTTTTTTTGGGGGGGGGGGCTTATACTGATTAGAATCAACATTCAGAGTTGATTGTTGAGAGGGATCCCTGCTCTGTAGTCAGTCGCCTGCAAAGTCCGACCTCTCCTTTCTCTTTCTCACGATAATTATGAATTAATCAGACCTCCGAGCGACGCAAATGAGAATGATGTCAAATCCGCGAGGGCAGCTTTACAAAGAGTCAACGTAATGAGCAAGGATGAAGTTCTGAGGCTGGCGACACTTTGACCTGTGCGGAGACTCACTGATAGAAGAAATTGACACTAATGGCTGCAGATATATATATATTGCTTTGACTCTTTGCAGAACCTTTTCTGAGATTTTCTTCATATAAGATCTTAACTTAATCCTCGTCTCCGTCTGAATTACTTTATCATGGCCAAGTCTTCATGCACAATGAAACCAGATGAGGCAATGCAAGACCTTCTCTCCCCTCCCCCACCCCAAAAAAGTTGGCATCCTCTGGCTGGCAGCATGTCCGCTTTGCATTTGATTGAAGAGAAAGCGTCGACATCACAGTGCAGAGGTCGTGGGTTCGATTCCAAAATCCGGCCTTCCTGTGTGGAGTTTAAGCATGTTCTCCCCGGGCCTGCGTGGCTTTTCTCCGGGTACTCCGGTTTCCTCCCACATTCCAAAAACCTGCATGGCAGGCTGATTGAACACTCTAAATTGTCCGTAGGAGTGAGTGTGAGCGCGGATGGTTGTTCGTCTCTGTGTGCGCTGTGATTGGCTGGCAACCGGTTCAGGGTGCCCCCCGCCTACTGCCCGAAGACAGCTGGAATAGGCTGTATATTTATAGATATCTATATAGGTAGATAAATATATTCCTGTTGCTGTAAAAACAAATAAAAATAACATCTGCCTCGGCCTAATAATTCTTATTATGGGCACCAAAAATATCAGAGTCTCCCCTTCCGTGCATGCCCCACCCCTCCATATATCCATATAACACAAAAGTGTTTCATGAATCATATTCTAATACAATATGCAGCATACGAACAAATAAAAAAAACCAACAAAATACGAAAAATTCTCGGATTGCCAACACACCGGTCAGTAATTTTCGAGAACCACTCCAGTATTCTTTTCTCATGCTGCTGAAACGTGACACAGGTGCACACGAAAATGCTCTCTTCTCACTGTTGAATAGATGTTATAACATTGAGCCGGATTTTCAGCAACAGTGAGTGTTTGCCTCCGTGAAAGCCCATCTTGCTATTATTATTTTCAGTGCTGTGAGATGCGAGAGCAGCTCTTCAAGTACTGACCCGTTGCTTTTGTCGTACTTTCGTCAATGATTTAGACACGGGTCCATGTCTTCTCTCGCACTGGAGATGAGATAAAGTTGCGTATGTTTAACCCCCCCGCCGCTCCATTCCTGCCTACATCGCTTCCATTTACGTCTTCATCTCATGAAGCTATTATTGCTGCAGCCTCTGGTTCAAATTGAGCCGGTTTCACGGATGCTTCTGTAAATCTAGCACTATATATAACAAGAAAGGGAATTGTGACAGAGAGAGGGGATGCATATACCGTAGGTGAGCTGAGGACGTCTAGACTCCTTCATTCTCCCTGAAGTGAAACCAGAGAAACATACAATCCCGAAATAACTCTGATGGCTCGAGGTCAGCTCAAGCGGGCGACCTCTGATGCATTTTTAAGCCATCTCGCCTGTTCCTTTCTGCCCGGGTGCAACCCAGAGAGGAATTTGCAAATGTATTATTGAATCGCGGTGCATCTCGCGTAATTAGTACAACTTTTTTTTTTTTTTTTTTTATCCTTCACACATGTATCCTCCAGGAAGAAGATGACAAGTTGAGAACAAAATGTCTCGTGAGTATTATGACACACGAGGCTGACTTGGGGCCACGCGCGTAACGGTGGGTATTTTTGTGTGGGAGGAAGTACTGGGGATGCAGTCACCTGGCTGCATTCACTTGCGTAAGTGTGAGAGTACAACACTCTTTGGGGGGAAATGCTAAATCTGTTCCGGAAGTCACGCACCCTCACACCCTCCGGCTCTAAGATGCAACTTTAAGATAACAACTTTGGGCCATTTCATGGAGCACTTTGTGTTTTTCAGCATGTGTGTGTGTGTGTGTGTGTGTGTGTGTGTGTGTGTGTGCACGTGTGTCGTCACACTTATTAAAGCTCTTTGTGTGATGCAAATATAGTATTCATTCCAAAGTTTTCACTGACAGTTGAAAGTTAGCAACAGTCACAAAAACTATTTTACCCTCGCCCCCATGCATCTTCGATATCATATAAAACATAAGGTGTCGATGCAGATGTGCCAAAACGCAAACTATTTAATCATCACTAAGCGTTGGACCAGTGCCTTCACTGGGGATGTAAGTGACCAAATCCATCTCTTAATAACACCATCGGATGCAACATAAAGTAATGCTACATAAGTACTCATGCTGTTAAAGAAGAGAAATCCCCCTCCAAAACCAACGGCTGGCGCCCGAAAAAAAAAACTGGGGTTTGAAACAAGCCAGCCGGCAGCATTGTTGGTTGACCTATCCTCGCAGTGTCCAGTTTTTCTTGAAAAGTGAGCTTTGAAAATATATATA